TTAAGTAGTTTAAAAGTGTCAATTTCAACGCATACTCTTGCATACATACCTCGGGATTGTGCAATTGTGTGACAATCAACTTTATAAATTGTGCCCAATAGATCTCCAATTGGTTTCACTGTCTTTTTAGTGAAATACTCAACATTCGACCACACTTAAAGCATATAAGTGTAAGGTTCTCATATTCTACTCTCACCAGCTTTCCCTCAATCGTTAAAAAGAGTTTAAGTAGTTTAAAAGTGTCAATTTCAACGCATACTCTTGCATACATACCTCGGGATTGTGCAATTGTGTGACAATCAACTTTATAAATTGTGCCCAATAGATCTCCAATTGGTTTCACTGTCTTTTTAGTGAAATACTCAACATACAAACCAGAGAGACGTGCCCATATAGTCAGTCTAGATATCTAGGTCAAAATGTGGCCTCCATTTTTGCATCGTAAGGTATTGCCCAGCAATGACCCATGGTCTCCTAGTGAGGACGTAGTTCAAATCCTATTCTAGCAAAAATCTGACAATGAAAAAATCATTGGCCAGATCAATTAGCTGCATTGGCCCCTTAAGTTTCCACCGTTGCTTAATAATGATATAGAATTCCGCCAAGGTTTGTACAACTTTTCCTTAATTTTCTCTGAGAAACGAATTGACAGACCATTTGCCAACGCAGAGACTTCAAAATCTCCATCTTGAATGACCAACTGATCTTCCTCCATAGCAGCAGCGGAAGAATCACCAATATGCTTTTCAAAAATAGCAGAACTCTGGAGCATATCTTTCAAACTAATCGGAGGCACATGTAGGGGTTGCTAAATTTGGTCCAAACTCACCTCATCATTAGGAAGTTGATCATTAGATCTAGGTCGCTTGCAAGAAGCGTTCATGGAAGAAATTCTAGTCGGCCCTTCGCTCTCCGGAGGCTGAAGAGCAGAGAAGAGAAAAGGTGCGCCACTACACGCCACCTTTAGAGCACGTGGAAAAGCCGAGAGAGAAGAACCTGTCTTTGTGGGGCACATTCTAAACCTTAAAGATTTTCAGTAGCGAAAGAGAAGCATCCCAATACCATTAGGCTTTTATAACGCCATAAACCCTGTGAACAATTCAGAGAGGCAGAACAATGATCCACTTCTAGCAACATCGATATTGTTCCCAACTTAACCACTCTTTAATGGGCCATATGTGCAACCAATTCCACATCGGTCACCTTTTTTAATTATTTTTAATATAAAAATAAAAACTGGATATATTCAAAAAATTTAATTCCACAAATTTTTTATTTCATTTACACAATTTAGGGGTGGACATCTCATTCAAAAAATCTGCGTATCAATCGTACTGAACCGATCATTTAGTTTGGTAAATTATAATTTTTTTATTAAAAATTTTACCAATTCGATACGGATCAAAATTATTAGTCAAAGGACTAGAGTGGGAATATCTCTTACCAACGGAAACCGTACTGAATCGAACTTTAAAATTAATGCATTATTTTATTATTTAGCCGTGTATCAACATGTAAGAGCCCCTCCAGCCATGCATAAAAACCGGGCAAAAGGCCCCTTGGGCTAGCCCATTGCGCCTCCAGCGGAAGAAAAGAAGCTCGGGCAAGTGGTGGGTCCCATGAACCTGGGCAAGCCCACGGGCAGATCTTGCCTGGGCTGAAGCCCGAAGGTGCTGACGTCATGCGTGACGTCACGCTGACATCAGCCCTCGCCAATTCAAATTTTTTTTACCATTGGCGCGTGAATTTCACACGCCAACAGTAAAAAAATTTCACTTCCGCTTGCAGGTCCCAACGGGCAGAAGCCACGTGGCGATTCCCCAGCTCTCCGATCTTTTTTTTTGCAAAAATCCGACGATCCTCATTTTTTCCGCCAAAAAAATTGCAAAAAAAATCGAAAAAAATTCAAATGTTTTTTAAAAAATACCAAAAAATTATGTATTTTTCCCTATAAATACCTATCAATTTAATTCACCTTCCACACCAAATCTTCATACCAACTTTTCTCCTTGCAATATTTTTTCCATTCCACTCACATTTTTCTACAAGTTTCCATTTGTATCAAAAAACAAATGGCCTCTTCTGTCGAAGCCCGAGGCTCTTGGAGTACTGTTGAAGATGTTGTGTTGTGTGAGTGTTGGGTGAAAGTTAGTCATTGCCCTATATCCGGCAATGAGATGAAGTTTTCTCAAATGTGGAAAAAAATTCATGAAGAATTTGTTGAAAGATTCGGTTCGGGGCGCACGGAAATGGCCTTAGCCTCCAGGTGGAAAATTTTGAATAAAGAGTTAGGCAAATGGAGGGATGCCTTGGCAAAAGCTAGGGAGAACCATAGAAGCGGTCAAAATCTTACCGATGAGGTAAAATATTTATAATTCTCGTTTTATTCAATTTAATGTATCAATTTTTTTTCTTGCATATTATAATTTTTTTTTCTTGCATTTCTAATTTATTTATATTTTGTTGCATAATAATTTTTTTGCTTGCATTTGTAAATGCTTTATATTTTCTTACATATTTATTGTTTTGTTGTATAATCATTTTATTTATTGCATTTATAAAATGTTTATAATTTGTTGCATAATCAATTATTTTCTTGCATTTCCAAATTATTTATATTTTCTTCTATATTCATTTTTTTTTGTTGCATTTGCAACTATTTATTTTTAATAGATCATACAAGCACAAATGTGGTTCGGAGCGACGGGGCAAGGCAAAAAAACTTTCCATAGTCACGAATGTTGGGAAATTGTGAAGAATTGTTCGAGATTCAAAATCATTTGCACTACTCCGCCGGTTATGTTGAATGAGACGCCGCTTCACAATTCGTCGACAACCAATTCGCCATTGGACTCCCCAATGGATCAAGACTCACCACTTCCACGTGCGCCAAGACCTATTGGGAGAAAGGCGGCAAAGGCAAAGAGAGGGAGCACTTCGAACAATGAATGTGCACAATTTTTGGAGCAAATGGCTAAGAATAGTGCACTGAGACTTGAGAGAGAGTTGAAACGAGAAGAAATGGACAAGGCACGACAAGAAGCATTTTCAATTCAAAGGGCGAAGGCAGAAGAACAAGACATGGAGGATAGAGAGATGAAAATCATGTCCATGGATACCACCCATATGTCTCCTGACACAAAGTCATACTGGAAAATAAAACGAAGGGATGTGATGAGAAGAAAACTTTTCCAAGACGACGGACCTAGCAATACGGATTGGTTAAATGATGAAAACCATTAGGTTGTATTGAAACACCTTTGCCATATGTTGTATTGTTGTATTGTTGGATTATCCTTTAATTTGTTGTATTGTTGTATTATCCTTTAATTTGTTGTATTGTTGTATTATCCTTTAATTTGTTGTATTGTTGTATTATCCTTTAATTTGTTGTATTGTTGTATTATCCTTTAATTTGTTGTATTGTTGTATTATCCTTTAATTTGTTGTATTGTTGTATTATCCTTTAATTTGTTGTATTGTTGTATTATCCTTTAATTTGTTGTATTGTTGTATTATCCTTTAATTTGTTGTATTGTTGTATTATCCTTTAATTTGTTGTATTGTTGTATTATCCTTTAATTTGTTGTATTGTTGTATTATCCTTTAATTTGTTGTATTGTTGTATTATCCTTTAATTTGTTGTATTGTTGTATTATCCTTTAATTTGTTGTATTGTTGTATTATCCTTTAATTTGTTGTATTGTTGTATTATCCTTTAATTTGTTGTATTGTTGTATTATCCTTTAATTTGTTGTATTGTTGTATTATCCTTTAATTTGTTGTCTTGTTTCCTTTTTATTCAATAAACAAAGCATTAAATAATATTACTATTTATTAAAAACCTTTGAGCATCAACACAAAGATTAATTAAAAACACACCTTAATTTATTGGAAACAACACACAAAACAAACCATACATAAAAGCATAATAATTAAAACAAGCATAATTCCAAAACACACCACACACAAAATAAAGCATAATTAAAAACAAAGCATAATTCCAAACAAAGCACTAATCTTGTCTTCATCCATTGTGATTGCCTTTCATCTCCCACAAGTGCTCGATCAAGTCAATATGACGCCTCTCATGAACATACGAAGATTGCATTGCTTGGTAACGATCAATCATGGGGTTGTTGAATCGACCATCTTGAACTAACGGTTCGTGCTCCAATGGATGTCCATTTGGTCCCATCGGTCTTTCATAAATTCTTGTCAAGGCCGTCTTCATGGGATCCGGTTCGTGCTCCTCTAGAGCTTCATAATCATGCTCATCCTCCACAATCATGTTATGGAGGATGATGCAAGTCATCATAATGCTTCGCAACACCTCTTCATCATACATCCGAGCAGCACCCCTAATAATAGCCCAATGAGCTTGCAAGATACCGAAACACCTTTCCACGTCTTTCCTGTAACCTTCTTGAAAGGCAGCAAAGCTTTTTTCCTTCTGGGATTGAGGATTCGGAATTGTTTTCATGAATGTCGTCCACCTAGGATAAATTCTGTCGGCAAGGTAATACGCATCAGAGTATACAGTGTTGTTGATTTGGTACGTGATCTGGGGAGAATGACCTCGCAATACATCATTAAACACTGGGGATTGACCAAGCACATTGAGGTCATTTTGAGATCCGGCCACTCCAAAGAAGGCATGCCAAACCCAAGTGTTTTATGAAGCTACGGCCTCCAGAATTATACTTTTTTGGCCCTTTCGATTCCCATAATCTCCTTGTCAAGCTGTTGGGCAATTCTTCCACTGCCAATGCACTGTATAGTGCTGGTTGATTTATTTTGGTATAATTTTAATGCTCATCATAATCTATCAAGTGTTTTATATGCATTGAATTGAATTTTTCAAAAGGTATACCACTTTGCTTCCTGTAAAAACGCCAAGTAGTCAGTCTGGTTTTCCAAAAAGTCAAAAATTGGTTCTATTGTCACTTAAAAACTAGGGCTTGTTCAATATAGATCCCTACATTTTCTATTTCCTAGACATATACCCATCACTCTACAAATCTATGTGTAAAACCCAATTTCAAATTTAAATGACAAATAGGATATAAGAAGTCGTATTATTCCTATATTTTTACATCGTTGCCACCAAACTTCAATGTGTGTAGCTAAGCGAGCCCTACAACCCACTTCGTTTTTGTTTTCTCAACATTTATGTTTTTTGTTTTTTTGTTTTTGTTTCAGTTTCTCTTTTTTACTGTGTCAAAACCATGACCTTGCTCAGGTATGGCGAGTTATATTGGACTAATTCATTGATCAAATTTTTCGGGAACTCAGGGATTTTCTCTTCATTGAAATTTTTTACTCTAATTATGATTTTGAGAGTTAGGACTTTCTGCTTCAATTTTGATTTCTGTTTGAGCAATGCAAACTGGGTTGATTTGTGCTTGCTGATGTACACTACACCGTAACTGGGTTTGTTTCTGTTTGCAATTTGGGTGTGTCATTGGTGGTTCGTTCTTTCTATGGTGTCATAATTATGGGGTTTTGGATTTCTTTTAAAGTTCCATTTAGCAAACCAGAAGCGCATCCCAATCCACTGCTGATACTAAATAGTATTTGAGCCATTTGCTTAGATCTCTCACAGTTCCATTAGTGTTGGCTTATTCTCAAACGACTTAAGCTTTTTGAGTTTTGTTAGTAGTTGGACTTTAACATGGTATCAGAGCTTTTGGATTTCAGTTGTTTTCTAAGAATTAGTTGTATAGATGTTCTTGAATTAGTTTGGTTATCTTTTGTTTATTGTATCATGATCACAGCTAACTTGCAGTTATATTTGATTTTTCTGAGAATAACAAGATCAACTTGTTGCAACATTGGGCAGGGGCAATCATTTATATGAAAATCTCCCCTTTTACGCTTATTTGAGTTCACTTGAGTTGTTATTTTAATGCATATTGATCATAAAAGGGAAGAATTTCATGGTTGTCAGCGATCTTGGTATTTAAAAAGCGAACGAATATTTTGGCATATGCTATGTTCTTAGTTAGTCATAGTTGTATTACCATATGAGATAAGCTCTTATTGTATTTACTATGTCTTGTTATGCTGCCAGTCTTAGTTGGGTGATGATTCTGGAGCCATTCATCTTTCTTGCAACTTCTGCATTTGTTTGTCAAACCAATGTAACTCAACTATTTCATACTTTCAGTCAAAGAGTATATATCAAGCCTGATTAAATTTCTCCCAAATAATTACGAATACAATTGTCTGAACTGTTCTGTTACTGTTCTCTGGTGAAGCCATGCTCCAGTGGTCCTCTGCATCTTGACAAATGTATAAATATTAATTAATGGTGCTTTGCCTAGGGAGTATCAGCAACACTAGAGGAGCAAGCACGGACTCAGAAAACTGTGTCCTAAAGGCTTTCTCACGTCCCGGACAAAGATGAGACCTTTAGATGAGACTACAGCAGTGTTCGAAAAGCTTTTCAAGTTCACAGGCAACAACCTCAAAAACATCGTCGAGAACCCTTCGCATGAAGGTCCAGACCCAGAATCAGGCCGTTACTGCTTCCGCCTCCACAAAAACAAGGTCTACTATGTTAGCGAATCACTAGTAAAGCGTGCTACGAATATATCTCGGACTCAGTTAGTGTCTCTTGGGACTTGTATTGGTAGGTTCACTCACGGTGGCAGTTTCCACTTAACTGTTCAGTGTCTGAGTTTATTAGCCTCAAATGCTAAACACAAGGTCTGGCTCAAACCTACCTCCGAGATGTCCTTCTTATACGGAAACCATGTTTTGAAAGGTGGTTTGGGGAGGATTACAGAAAATATTGTGCCCGGTGATGGGGTGGTTGTGTTTTCAATGTCAGATGTCCCGTTGGGTTTTGGGATTGCGGCCAAGTCTACCCAGGATTGTAGGAAGTTGGACCCCAATGGAATTGTGGTACTTCACCAGACAGATATTGGAGAGTACTTGAGGATGGAGGATGAGCTTTGAATAACCAGACGAGATTGGACGAGATTCAGGTGGTTTTGACAGATGTGGTGTCTTATTGGGTATGTGGCTTATGAAGTCCATCTGTCAGCTTTTGATCACTATGAGCTTAAGTCCTTTGGGATGTGTATGGCTTTCTCGAATGTTATTTCCATCGGTGCTTGGGAGTTTCTGCTATCAACTCATTGTTAAAAGCTTGGCTTGAATTGAATGGGTACGTGTTTATATAGCTTGGCTTGAATGGGTAGCCAGCCATAAGCTTTGTTGGTGACCAAAGGCTCCTTGTTATGTGGTGATTAGATTTATATTAGGTTACTTTGAGAAAATGTTGAGAATTCATATGTGCTTTTAAGTTGATCAGTTGTTACCCTTTTCCTGAGGTCTCGAATCCCCTCTCTCTCAATAACGCTTGTCTCAAAACACATATCATCTTTAATGAATTTAATTTTTTTTTCATGAAATACATAAACTTCTCTCTAAGGACTAAAGTTGCAAAAGTATATGTAAGCAGGTAATAAAAATCATAATTTAGACATTTTATTTCCAATCCTTTTTATGTTGATCAAAGCATTAGATTTACATATTTTTCCCAGCTCTTTCGTTTCATTCACTCATTAGATTTACATCTGAAGCATAATTAGCCGACCATATTGGCAACATAGTGAATATGTAAGCCGACCATAGGCGGTTGTCAATTTTGTCTCTAATTCGAGGCTTTGGATGAATTTTTCAACTTAAACTACTATAAATAGACCCTATGCGTACCCCAATCTCATCATACTATACCCACTGAGAGCTAATAATAAAAGGTCTTGTTAAAACAGACAGATATATTATCAAAGTTTCCAATGGCATGGAATAAATTTGTCACCCTTATCACCATCCTTGTGGTTCTTCTTCCTACAATCACCATGGCGAAAGAATTCGTCGTCGGAGATGACAGCGGCTGGAAAACTAATTTTGACTACCAAGCTTGGGCCAAAGACAAAGTATTTCGTGTTGGTGATACACTAGGTATGTACATTTAATTATATAGAATTTTATGAGAACCAAATTAACTTAATGTGACTGGTTTTACATTTTAATTACAGTGTTCAATTACAAGGCTCCTAATCACAACGTGTTCAAGGTGAACGGAACTGGGTTCAAGGAATGCATTAAGCCAACAGAAAACGAAGCACCACTTTCCAGTGGAAATGACAAAATAGACCTACAGACCTCTGGAAATAAATGGTACATTTGTTCTGTTAAGGTGCTGTTCGTTGCATCACATTGTCTGGTTCATATCAAGCTTTCATGGCCGTCATCCACATAATACAATCAATAATTAATTAAACACCCGCATTTTATAGAGATGTGCGTTACTTCAGTCCGCTTGCACCCGAGTTCATTTTACATTGGAGTAATTTACAATATTACTTTGCAAAAAAAAAGAAAAAGAACACCCTGAATTTTACGTTCAATAAATAGAATTGCGTAGTGGGGCACTTGAAGTTTTTGTTCTACAACCGTTCGATATAATTGGCTTTTGGGAGCTGCTTTTTATCATGTAAGATGCATTTTTATTGATTGAATTTCAAAGACAATTACGTCTGTTTGTTTGTTAGATTCACCATGTGTCCATTCTAAGCGTACAATTGAAGTCTCCATTGAAGGAAAATAACAAGGAAACAAAAAGAACATAAATTAGTACTTGACTTTTTAGCTAAGGCTTCCTCAAATATACTAAGCCTCTATCATCCGATAGTCCTTATACAAAATTGACGAATAAGAAACAAGTAAGATATATATATATTAATTATGTAAAATGCATAATAGCTAAATGTAAAGGTTCGGGAATCCAAAAACTAGTCAAAACCCCAAAAAGCTCTCTCTCTCTAATACCCCCAAGCCCTCTTTCAACTAGGGGAGGAGGTGGGCACTGCCCCTCCACCCCTTCTTCTTTCCACTCCTTCTCCTTTCCCTATACTGGTATGCCCCTTCTCTCCTCCTTCTCCTCCACCTTTCCCTTTATATGCCCATATCTACATGGATTTTGGGTTTTTATGCCTAGATCTTGTTGGTTTTCCAAGAAATGGCTTTGAAGCAAGTTTGAGTTTAAATTTGTAGTCCCACATTGAAACATTAGAAAACATTTATAATCTTTATAACCCTAGTTTGGCCCACTAGTTTGGTCTAGTTTGGAGTTGTGGGCTTGACCTTGGGTTGACTTGGGTAAATGATTAATTAATAGATATAAACCTTGTTTAATTAATTAATTAATTAACTAAAATTTTGAATTATTTTAAAATTCAAAATTCAAAATTAATTTTTGAAATTTATCAAAAATTCGTTAGAGATCAAAGTCTTGGTGCTAGAACTTTGATTGAAGATAGTTGTATAACTATAAGCATTGACTAGGGGTGAAATTCTGTTTCAAGAACTTTGATTTAAGATAGTTGTATAACTACAAGCATTGACTGCACGAACAATCAGTATTTTATTAAACTTCATTATATATTATTGTTGTGATTATTCAATTTTTAGAATTAAATAATAGTATAACTGATTGTTGTTTCGCCAACACATCTGTTTGGATCTGGGATTTGTTATTTGTTTTTTTTCTTTTCGTTTTGTTTGGTGCAAGGTCTTGGGTAGCTGACGGTGGTGCTCTCTATCTCGATCTAAGCAGGGCATCGATGTTAGTGGGTTTAGCATCGATTGTTATGCTGGTTTGTTTTGTTCTGTTGAAGCAACAACCGTGAAACACTATTGTCGCCATGATATAGTTGTCGTTTTGGGCCACATACACAAGGATTTGGCTCCAATTTAGATTTGGAGTTACAAAAATGGAAGTCTTTTTTTATTTTTCTGGGCTGGGCTGGGCCTGATCAAGGTTTCAAATGTCGAGGCCCAAGTCTACCAGGCGTTTTATAACTTTTTATTACAAATTTCTAGACAACATTAAAAAAAATAACTTAATTCATAACGTGTAAAAAACAATAAGAAGTTTACTAAAACAGGCTAAATATTATTTCATTAGCCAACTTTATTGTTATTTTCATTTATTTTATTCCATTTATTATTTATTATATTTATGGATGGATCATGTCGGGCCTAGACGTCCTTAATAAGTCGGACCAAGTCCAAGTCATAAATGTATAAATATATATAAAACCTAGATCTTCCTTTATCTTTTACCATACTTTTAATTCAATTTTAGTTATTTCATTACAACACAGGTCAAACCTTTGTTTTTTTTTGTAGCTGTTGGTCCCTTTTTCTGTCAACATTTTTTTTTTGTGGTTTACTCTAGATTGAGCTGCTCTGGAGAGTGGGAAGGTCATTGGGTTTTCTTTTGCTGATGATTTCTCCTTCAATTTATAGAGAATGAGGTCGGTTAAGTGTTGGGACCAGCAACCAATTTGAAGTACCCACTTGCCATTGATTTTGGTGAGTGGGTTGCCGAAAATACAAGTAAACCCAAAAAAGTTGCTAAGAGGTTTTAATAAGAAATGACAGAAGTTGTCACTATTAGACTTAAAGAAATCCAAAGTATTAGTCCACTTGCCATTAATTGGTGAGTGACAGCCAAAAGTTGCTGACTAAAAGAAAAAAGAAATGGAGAGATAATGGCCACCATCTTTACTTCTTTCTTTATTCATTGTTTAAGTCCACTTGCATTATTTCTTCTCTTCTTTCAACCTTTTCACGTGTGTGTTGAGCTTTGACTTTATTTTAATATTCTTCATCACAAAGAATATTAAAAGTTTTCCATCCATCCCATCATTATTTTATTCTTCTTTGAATCAACTCACTTGTGATAAAGCCCCTCCATTGAAGAAGTGAAACTTGATTAGCAACTACTAAATTTCTTCTTCGAACATGCCTTGATGCATAATAAACTGGGAATGCTAGATTCATCCAGTTGCTGCAAATTTCGAATATATTGTTCTCCACATAAGTAGGAACAACATTCATGAGGAACTTAATTCCATTTGAGCAATAGAAAATCTAATTTAGCATGGTTGCAACTAACTGGTCATCACAGACTACGGTCACAAACAAAAATCATGATTCATGCCCTGAAGATTTAATACTTGTGCAAATGATGCCAAATTAGGATATGTCGTAGTAGATATCCAAATGAACAACTTTCATGAATAACGAATGTTCATTTGAGGACTAGAAGCTAGTCCAAATTACCACTGTTTTCAGCTTTCATTGTTGCTGGTATGCTTCTTATGTGTTGATGTCGTGAGGATTCCACATTTATCCAAATGATCCTAAATTTGGATATGTTGCAGTAGACATTCTAATGAAAAACTTTCATGAAGAAAGACAATTCATTAGATGAAAAGACCCGACCCAAATTCCATTTTGAAATCTGCACCGAACCCTGTGCGTGTCCGACACCTGGCAGGTGCTGAGCACACTTGACCAAATTGCCCATCTAATGAAATCCAAAGTTTCTTTAGGGTTTGACTTTTGCTAAAAATTCGGCAGAGTCTCCCCTGTAAATTTCTCGTTTCCCAAAACTTTTTCACCTATACAACAAGCAATTTAAATATCCACAACCGTTCAGCATGCACAATAGTAGAATTCATGCAACCAAACATCAAATCTTTATGGCCTCAGGCCTCTTTGTACCAAATAAATCGTTCTGCCATCTGAAACTGATCTCAACTTTTAGAACAACATGAATACGTTATCAAATTCCAAAATAACTTAACTGATCAACTTTTCAAACACTTGATCTTGGGGCTGCACCTAGTAACTCTAGGTTGCCTACGTACCCTTACTAAGGGATCAAGCCATACGTAGTTCTTTCAGCAAAACTTATAAGTAATTCAAATCCATCCGCTGAAACTCAATCAAGGGCTATTGATGTTAGAAAAATCTCCCATTTATCTTGTGTGCATAATATATATATATATATAATTAACATATTACTTATCAGTAGGAAAATGATAAAATTAATAAAATAGCATTAACCACGTGAAACCTTAATGTCAATACCAACAATTTAAAATAAAATATGCTTCCCTCTTTCACATGTAAAAACAAATTCATCACTTACGAGAATAGATATGATTTGTAGAAA